TTCACTTCTAGTTCGTTATCAGATATCGTTGGCGTATTCATTAGAATGTTATAGGTTATACGGGTGCGCAAACGGGTGGACAAATACGGAGAACGGGTCGAAAGGTAGTGCCTCAATTGACCGCGGTTGCTGAAAGGTCACAAGCAGGCAAAATCTGTAACCTTGACTCTGCCTCGGGAAAGCATAAGAAACAACGTATCTCGAAGCGTGGACAAGGTGAGTTAGTTTCCATATGAGTTCCGCTAGTTTTGAAAACGTTATATATAAGCGCTCCACATTTGGTTTTCAGATCGACTACAAAATACAGCCGCGTCTGGAGATGACGGCAAAGGTGTTAGCCCAGATTGCAGGAGTGTTGAGGAGAATCTACCGAAAAAGAAAGTTCGTTCCGAAGAAGCACTCAGGTTAAGAGAACAAAAACTGGCTGAAAAGGCGGCTGCTAAGCTAGCAAAGGCGAAGGAACGGGAATTGAAAAAAGCAGCTAAACTTGAGAGGCGCCAGCAGAAGTTGGAAGAACAGGAACGCAAGAGAAGGGAACGGCTATTGAGGAAAGAAATGAAAGAGAAATTATTGCAACAAAAGCGAGAATGGCGTGAGGAGGAAAAGAGGAAAAGGCTTGCGAGAGAGCTGCAGTCAATGTGCAAAAAGAGGAAGCTCGATAGCTATTTGGTGAGCTTATTCATTTGCATTGACCCATCCAACTTATCGAACTTTCCTTGCTGCAGAAGAGCTGCGAGACAGACGAGACGACACAGTTCATTTCGAGCCCTTGTGATGGCATACTTCCTTTCGTTGACCTCAGCATATTCTGGAGCATTTTTGTTCCCGGGCAGGTCTTCTTGGGCCGATGGCTAGTGGGTCTTATATTTAATCACACCATACTATACTGGAAAAGTGGGTTTTTGATAAGCTAGGAACGTTTTCCATCACTCGAGTCCTTTTGAATTTTATGAAATGTTCGTTTTCATTTGCATTGTTTCAGATTTTGGATGAAGTTCCTTCGCATCGTTACGGTGTGATAGCATATCTTGTAGTTGAGCAAAGCGAAGCTGCTACCCAGGTGAGATTTCCTTTGATTTTTCCACTGCCAGAAGATTGTTGGCAATTTGCAAGCGTTTAGTGTGTTCTATACGCTCAACTGGCGGACAGCTCGTTTGCTTCGCTTCCGGAAGAGATGTATTTCGTACAAATTGTAAGTTTTTTCATGAGAAAATGAGCTGAATTGTCATCCAGCCAATATTGGCTACATAAGTTATGTAAGTCACACCAAGCGAGTCATTAGGTCCAACTGCGGCAGAAAGTCTTACATGCATTTACCGTGCTGCGTGTTTAGAACTAGTTATTCGTATCTTACTTGTTAGAATCAATGTTTGTTAAGCAATCAGAGAAGAATCGCTCTTCTATGTTTCAAACGATTGTGGACGCTCGATTCATTGATGCTTCACCGCAGTCACCTCCATTCTTCTACGCCATTGTGCTCCTACGGTGAATATGATTTTTTTATAGACGTTGGAAAGGTAATAAGTTTTGCTTTGTGGTCTGCATATTGAATTATATGATGCTAATATACTTGAAAAGCTGAAGCTTCTATAGACGCTTACTATTTTGCCAAGAGAAGCGTTGTTTCAGTTCCATCGAATTTCGCTCAACCGCATACAGAATTTTGTTGCAGTGAATCTGTATCCTTGGTAATTGGATATGGAATGGTTATCGCATCACCTGAATGGAGTAGGCGAAAGAAGGCCTTGTGAGTTTGTGAACGGAGGGTCGTCTAAGCTTGAAGATTTCCTCTAGGAGTGGGTACTTTACTTATGTTTTTCATTTTAAAATTAATTTTCCAGATTTTACCGCCAAAGTATTCGCTTTCTGTCCACATTGAGACAGGGGCTCCCCCACTTTCTTCACGATTTGGGGCGCGGCCGCGGCGAGCGCGGACGAGTCGATAGTGCCCGCGAACTGTGGTGGTGATGCGTTTTCAAATTTACCCACACAGTTCGCGGGCACTATCGACTCGGCCGGGGTTTGCCGCGGCCGCGAGTGGGCGCGCCCGAAATCGGTGCCAGATGTAGTGGGGAGCCGAGGCAGGGCGTGTGGTTGTCGCTTAATGGATGTTTTTCCCTCTTTCTCGCCAGCATCGGAACCTGCTTGGGTATCATTCTGGTCTGCCATAATCAGCGTTGGACCAGGGTTCACTGAGCTAAATAAATAAACATTGCACTGCGAGAAGCTGGCTAAGGGTCGGCTATTCTATTTAGAGAATACAACTACTTGAATTAAAGCACAATGATAGGAGAAGGATAACTGTTTGATGTTTATCGTCAGCGTTTCGTTTGTGCCATGCGCTTACATGGAATATTATAAGTAGTTTTTGTCCGGCTTTTTTTATTTCATTAAAACAAGACGTTTTTTAAAAATTCTGTTTGGCGCAGAGTTGGTGAGGCAATTTTGAGTATCGCCTGTCTTTGTCGATCTAATGAAACTTCCCCAACAGTGATCAATTCAGCAGGCCCTTACCACATTTGAGTTGTAATTCTCAGGAAGTAAGGACCCCGAGTTTCCTTCTACATATGCGGGAAAATTTCGAGGTTAGAAGGAGTGGTTTTTTCATATTGAGTTTCGTGGAGGAAGTGAACAGCGGTATTAGATTGGGAGCTATCGCGCGGGTGAGTGAGCTATGACCGGCTTCACACGAATACCATAAAGATGGCTAGTTAGTGAAGGAATATGGGTGGCATGATTAATAGGAAGGCTATACATCTGAAATGGTCGACATTGTTTGTTGTCTTGTTAGCTGGCTGATTTTTGAGCCGCTGGTTTTCAGCCTTGACTGGAATGTTAGCTGTGTGATTCATTATCGTTAGTGGAGTGGGCATGCGACGTTAGAGTATGTAAATAGTAACGACGTTCGTCGAAAAGGCGGGTCACGCGTAAGCGTAGCCTTGCTTAGGGTCGTTTATTGGACGATTCGACAGGTCGGGTTTCGATTAATCTATTTGGGCTTCGGTCTGGTGTATGTATTTATGCATTGGCTGATATGCCGGTGCTTGTTCGCTTGCTTTTATTTGGTTTTTTCTTTGTTAAGCAAAGCTTCTGCCTTGTTTAAAGTGAGAGGGTTTATATTTTTGCCTGAGGTTGGAAAATTGAACAAAAAATGTTACAAGTTTGGAGAGAGTTCAGCGATTACAGAAGAAAATACTCCAATTAAAACCGTCTGTCACTTGACTTTTCGCCGCTACTGCACTTGTTGATTCAACGGCAACCGCTTTAGTATCTCCAGTGCGTTTACGATATATCACTTTGACGACGATATATATGTGATACTCTACTGACGAAATGCTATCGACCTTTTTCGGTCTCTGTCAAAAATGATTGCATGCAGCTAGTATCCGCTTGCGCAGGGATCACTTTCCTCCCTAAATGTTCAGGGTGGCTCATTTTAGATCATAGAAGTGGTTTACGAGACCGGTTACACGTTTCGAAATGTCGAAATGTCGCAGTTCCATTTGGATGTTAGAAGTCGTCGCTTGTTTCTGAATAATGCGTCAGAGGTGGGTCATTGCAGATTGTTGTATTGTATATGTGTGAAGTGCAGGTTTCGATTCAAAAAGTCTCATTTCTTCCGGTAGCATCTGCTTTGTGTTTACATGGAAGTGCACATTCCTTGCAGTTTTCAGGTAGTGAAGAGCACTGAGCTGATGGATTTAAAAATGAAGAATGGTGGAATTTTGCTGCACAATTACTGGCGTGGTTGCCCAGAATTTGCACCTCTCAGTTGGCATGAAAAGGGTGAACGTAAGTGAAAAATAGGGTTGTTGTTTCAAGATCAAAAAAGGATGTAATGTGTTCAAATAGTTCGGGCAGGGTATGTGGCCGGCTGTGCTTTATGAAGGATGTTATCAATTGTAGGGAGTGTTGTCCGGGTGACAGATTGTGCAGAAGTGCTCTTCTACATCATGTTGGAACTGATGGGTTTGATGACATGGCGTGGCCTTAATAAGGATGAGGTTAGTGCAGATGCCTTCAGTTTGGTGGCAACATTCTGAATCCTTAAAGAAATCTTTTTTTTCGTGTTCTGAATTTTTCCATCTTCTCTTTTTTTTGGATTTACGACATGATCAATGCTGTTGCTATTCTGAAATATAATTTTTCAAGGCGCTGGTTTGCTGACATTCAGGATTGGAGTTCTGTTCTTTCAAAATAAAGACAGATGTATTTGAGGTGAAGAAGCGTCTCTTCTGAAGTCAAAGCACTGCGTTTCAAAAGTATATAGGCACCCTTGAAAACAGCTGTTCCTAGTTACGAAGAATTCTTATGGGTACTTAATTAAACTGCGACTGAACTGATATCGGTCTGCGCACGGCTCAAAATGGGCTGCGAGACATGTCATTGATTAGGTTTGGTCACAGAAGCAGAAATTCCATAAATTTCCCAGATTTGATGCCCCTGAAACGACTGAAACGTGGCTTATAGAAAGACCCATAATCGATCATACTGTTCAGATCAAACTTCATAAGCTCAACATTGACAGCCGAGTTCTGCCTGTTCCGTGAGTTCTCTTGATGTTTAAATCAACACTTGTTATTCTCATTGCACACCTTTCTTCTGTCAATGATTTGACTTTTGGTGACTTTACGTTGCTCCACTACCCTCGCCTTCAAATGACCAGAAATTGTGCAATTGCAGAAATTGACGTGGCATTAACGTGGCATCGATTCAAGAACATCTTTGAGCACACGTGATGTCACCTTTTCATCGAGAATTTAGCCACGTGTGCCAATGCCACGTCAATTTCTGCAATTGCACAATTTCTGGTCATTTGAAGGCGAGGGTATGTTGGAAAGAAGGTCCGGAAAATTTTCATGCAATCGCAATTTCAGCTAGTTTTATTGAATTGTATGATTGAAATTCAATGTGACGTAGGCTGGTTGAATACTGGAAAATAGTTCGTCGCGCCCAGGAAATGCAGATTAGCAAAGTAATGCTCCACGATGGCTACCTTTTGCTCAATGGAAAACGTGGAGGAGCCACTTCTTCCGTTGTGAGCTATTACATTCATACAGTATGCTCAGAAGTCTTCAGTGGTATACTTTTTTGACTTCCCTTTTCTATAGTGGACTAATTTACTTCGGATTTCAGTATATGTATGATATCGATATGGCAAACAATTCTTACTATTCACCCATCCTTTGGTTCAATGTACATCTACAGAAGCTAAACTCAAAATAAGTGTAATTAAAGGACGCAAAAAATCGGCGGACGTTTCTCGTTCTGAATAAGTTCGCAAAGTTTCAAAACGTTAGTCCTTAGCATTAGGCAGAAAAATCCCCATTCTTGATTAAAGCTGCAAATCGTGATGGATGGGTTCAATGAAACTCTGCAGTCAGTCACCGGTATAACATTCCATCTATGTACTAGTAGGTTGACCGATGAAGGAATGTCGCTCCCGTTTGTGACACGGCTGTGCTGAAGCATAACCACTCGAGTTCTTATAAGAGTGGAAAATGACCAACGTTCTAGGCGCACCAGCTTAGGCGTTTGCATCTACTAGCTGTCGCCTAAGTGTGTGCTCATGTTCGAGCTCAAACAAAGGACTTACGGTCACCTATTCTCATCGCGCTGCATTAACAGTTGATGTTTGCCGAAGCTTCTACGGCGTTGACTGTTGAATGCTATTGGTACGAAAAGGGAGCTCCCGCTGCCTGAGTGAGTAGACTATGCAGTAATGAAGTATTTTCCTTAACCCGAAAGGAAAAAGACTTTTTTTGACTCATGGTGACTTCGCATTTTAGAAGGCGATGTTCTCGAATAAAAGAAAGTGAGATCTACACTCATGAACAGCTGAGGCCAACTTCGAACCGGGACCCACAGAATGATCCTTAATGGGACGGGTGGCTCTCAAGCTCGTATGGGTCCAGTGGCATTTTACTGCTTGAACCTACCACGGCAGCATTCGCCGCGTGGATTAAGTGGTTATTATTTGCATACCTGCCGAATTATTCCAGCGTCTCACTAGCGCGAAGTAGAGCTTACCCGATGTGTCCATCATTGAACCGAAGCATGAATTCACACCGCAGTTAGTCATGAAAGGCGCCGACTCTTGCATTCATCTTGTTTTGTTATAAAAGTGAATTTGGCCTTTTCTCCTCTATCGCATTGATATGTAGCCTTTCTGACAAAAGCATCATTGGAGAATTGAGGGATCTTTCGTGAGGTACACACCCCAATTTGTTAAAATGGAGGCGAGGAAATTTGCACCCAGATTGCCTGCTTTTCAAGGGCTTTAGCAGGAAACACCTCGAAAAAGTTCTGTTTTTTCAACAGTACTTGCACGTCATCCATTTTGTCAGAAATGGCAACAAATCAAAATAAGCAAAAAATGCGAAAAATGTTAAAAATCTGGTCTCCTTTCCCCCGCGCAGTCGCAGGGTCTCCTAATAAAAATCCGGGTAGTCATTGGCCCTGAAATCAGGCCTGATAAAAGTGGTCATTAAAAACTTCAACTGGTGAGTGAGTCTGCTGATAAAATATATGGCTAAGCATTGTTTACCGCCAAACTCAAGATTTTTGTATTCATTTACCAACTAGAAATATGACCGAAAAAGTGTTTTATCTATGTTTGAGCCCGCTATTAATGTCGATTGGATTCTCGACCACTGAGAATGGTACGAACAGTTCATAATTTCATATTATTTAAGCTAGACTTCCGAAGACTGTTCATGAAGCTCCTAGCATTATACAAGATCTTTGGAGGAGTTAAGGATGATGACACGCCTTACGATTTTGATGTGGTCCAAGATCCTACCTCACGAGAGCCAAGTCAGGTTGGTACCAGCGTTGCCCTACATTCTCATGGTGGAAAGAAAGGGAATAAAAGAATGGGAAATTTTCTGTAGATATTACTATTATATTCTACTTCCTTCCTATTCCATTTTTGCAAGGCCAAGTGTGCTAGTAACTTTTTCGGCTCCATCGGTACATCGAACCGCCCAGGAACTTGCCCACTAGAATCTCTCGGATGACATCGGGTTTCTTTCCAGGCACGACTGGTCGAATTGTTCAAGAAGGCTCATTTGATAAGAGAAAAGATTGGAATGCTAAAAGCGGATATTTCTGCGCTCACGATACGCAAGGAGTACGCTAAACGTTGTGCCGCGCACACAGAAGGGAGCAAAGCAGCCTGCTTCTGCAACGAGCATCGTCTTGTTTGCATTAAATGTCGCCGAGTAAGACAGATCATAACTACGTACACTCATATTTTTATCTTCTTCCTTCCATTTCTCTGCCAGATCTTCGACAGTTTTCTGCCCGTTGATCAAAAATGTTCTTTTCTTTCTATTTTAGTATCAAAGCTCTTCGTTTCATATTACCTATCCACACTGTTATCATCTGTTATCATGTGTTATCACTTTTTATTAGTACCCTTGATTCCATTTTTCTTGCTGCATGGATGATACCAGCCTAGCTTTGCCTCTACATAAGCTGTAAAATTTCTCCATTATTCGTTGAGTAGATTGCAGTTTTACAGGTGTTATCTCGTTTCAGTGCACTTTTGATGCGGCTTTGTCTGTTACAGCTTATTCTTTTACAAATTTTGCAGCCCCTACAATTTACTCATTCATTCGCGGAGCCGGCGAAATTATCTGTAGGGAGCTGTGTTGTTTGAACGGTACACATCTGTCTAATTTGTGACAGTTTTAATGGTTAATAAAGTCTATTATTGTATAATTTCGAAAGCAGTGAGTACGGTAAAGTAGGGCTACACCGAGGTTTATGCTTCAGTGGAAGAAGTAGCGAGGTGGAAAAGGAAGGGAGATGTGCCTTTTTTGCTGCGAAATGTGCGCTAGTTGTAGCACAGGGCTGAAACCTAGATCGATCTGCCTCCGAAACCGTCCCGCCCCAAGCGTTGTTATTGGAGTTTGTGATACTGTTATCAGAAAGAAAGAAGAAGAAAGTGCACATCACGACTGGGCAATCATCCTGCCATCTCAAGATTCTTACATAATTTGCGATCGTAGTCAAGAAACTTGTGAATCCAGACAGTCGTTCATGCAAAAAATGTGGTCAGCAATTCGGATTGAGAGGCATAAATTGTGTCAGAAGCGCACACTCATCTATTCAACATGTAAAAATAAGATTTACTAAAAGATGTCTTACCAGGAAAGGTCATTTGGTCAATCTGGGCGACTGAAATGAAATGTATATCTATACGCGCCTTGGGACGCTGAGCTCAAATATGTGTTCCTTATCTGCTGAACTCTTCTCTGAAAGGAATTATGCAGAAAAGCGCAGGGGCAGTGGTCTGGGCTATGAAAAAGAGGTCAGGGGATCGACTCCTGCGAGCTTGCTCTTTTGCACTCCAACATGCTTGTAGAAAAAATTTAAGGGAGTTAACGAGTTTGGGCGGCATTCGCTCCCGACTATTCTAGGCGTCTGTAGCGCACGCGCTAGGCATTCTCGCTCGAAACATGTGTGATATTCGAAATCAGGGAGCTGGACTCTCCCTTTGGGCAAACTTCCTCCCCAATTCGCCAATTTGCAGTTTCGACCGCTAACCATTGAAGATGTGTGGCAGTCACTCCCCATCCATCAACACATAAAGACAAGGTTTGGTATGGATGTTATAAGCCTCTCTAAATACACTTCAGAAAAAAAAATGTTCGTTGGTGCCCGTGTGTATTATCTCCATAGATCTACTACTATTTTCAAAAATTCAACATCTTCCCCGGGTTCTCCCGCCCGTGATGGCCAACAATAAAATGCGAGAGTTTAGTAAAGTGGAACCTTAACGTACTGCCTTTGGCAGGTAGGTCATAACCTGAGGTTTTGCTAGGAACTTCAGCGGTAGTTTGACACGAATTCTCAACACGAATGTCACTTGCTCTACAATCACCTTTCGAGGTTAAGTAGGTGTTTAAGTTGATGAAATAACGTATTCAAAAGGCTTTTTAGCTATGTTGAAGAAAAAGCAAAACAGCAGACGTCTGAAGAAACCGAACCGGTGAACCCTGCTCCGGAAGCAAGATCGTTACCAGCTGCGCCACCAAATGTCCCTTTCAAGCTGAAATCGGTCGAGGACCCTTTCGAGGGATTGCACGCGTCTCCCCGTCCGCGATACATCTTCATGCTACGCGCGAGCCGTTCGTTTTGCTCATCCGGCGCCTACCGTCCTCACTCCTTGACACACGATACGGAGCCATCGTCTAAGATGAACTCGACCGTTTCACAATCTCATCTCACTTGTTTTCCGTGTCGTTTATAACGAAGTCTATACGTAATTGCAGACAAAACACTGAAAAGTGAGTCGACAAAGAAAACCCTCCGTAACTGCTTTCAGGGAAGAGTTTAGCAGATAATTGATTGAGCTCAGCATCCCATGATGCATATAAAAAGTACACCACATTCCATTTGATCAGATTGACTATTGACCTTTACTGATTCTAATTTTCAAAAATAGCTGGTGACGTTAATACTAAAAGTTTTAATAGTTTTTGATGAACTCTTCACAGAGAGGTATCCGCAGCTCCTGACAGCTTTTCATTTTACCCACTTCTTGAGAGGTTCACGACAGAATTAGGTGCTAACGGATTATTTCGACTTTATTTTCGACTAATTTTCGGAAGGAACAATCGAAGACTGCGATTCTTGAGTGCGGCATCCAGACAGCGTTTGATTCCAATGCAAAGCTTTCATCCCAAGACAGGTTCTGACCAATGCCAAAAGCTTTAATCTCTTTTAAAATCTGTTTTCGGAGAATCACAATTTTCGAGTCTCCGAAAATTAGGAGCAATACTGTACTGGGAATAGCAGTGATGCAGTGGCAAATAGCACGTTTACCATGCGCGCGGTCCGGGGATCGAATCCTGGGTAGGGGCCAAACTGATCTTTTCAACCTCGGGGACGGGTAGCAGACTGGTCTGAACGGATAGAAACACTGACACGTTACATCGTAGGCCAAATATTCAAGGCCACTATGAATGTACTAATGGGAGCTAGAATCGCGTGCCTTATCCAAGACGGGGCTTGATCAGCGGCAAAAGCTTTATCTCTTTTTACCGTTTTATACTGTACTATGAGATTCTCAGTGGACCTGCAAGTTTTTGGGTGTGATTTGCTAGGACAAAAAGTGGACTTTCGGTTTTCCAGTTGGTGAAACAATTTTTTCGGCTCCGAAAACCTCAGGTTCTTCTGGTTCAGTGGTGAACCTGGCTTCCGTAAGCGAACAGTTTCGCTCTGCGGAAAGCGGAAAAGCCACTTTCTATCGTAGCGAACACCCCAAGTTTTCCCTCTGCCTAGTACATATCCTTTTCCATTGTTCTGGAAGATGCAAATTGGTGTGTTTCATTGTGTCGATTTTGGACTTAACAACAGCTTTAAAACATTTTATTTCTGTGCACATTGGTAGTGTTATATGGCACAGATCGCTGACAAGATCGAAATTGGCGCTAAAGCTGGCCACATCACTGGAATGCTGCATTACGGGAATTTTATTATTCGACAACATTCAAATACCCTATTTATTTGATCATGATTAAGTAAGGATATTCGTTAAGAGCGGCATTCAGTGAGTGTATCTGAGAGAATTTACTTACATACATACATACATAATGCAATATGTGAATGTACAGTACCCGTACTGCTGCGCAGTACCACCTATGCAACGTTCGGCAATCCACAGTGATTGACGGTAATGAATTATTAGCCGACTTGCTTCATTACCTTCAATCGACGATCTAAAATTCGCAACAACAACAAACCCGTAAGTCCTCTACTGAAAATATTAGGTGGAACATGAGAGTGTAGCATGAGCAACTCTGAAAGTTGTCGAAAGTCAGAGAAATGTACAAATTACTGTAGGCAAGAAATGCAAACAAATCCAATAACACACTACTCTGATCCAAAACTTGTAAGTAGGGCATGCCCACGATGAGTCCCTGAATTTGAAGGCCGACTTTGAAGGGTTAGATCGAAACGCGCTTGGATCATCCCCTCAGATCAGACACATAGATAATCGAGTTTTTCCTTCCACTATCCCTTGCCAAAGGCTCCCTTGGCTGTGAACGGTGGAAAGATTCTTCCCTTGCGGGTGGGATGTGTACCGGCAACAACGAACACAAAGATATGTGAGGCGAAGGTGATAACTGGAGGAGGTCGCGTCGCAGCGTAGCGAGGCGAGCGAAACGGCAATGGGAATTACCACGTTTTGTAAAGTTCAACCTGGCAGTGATGAGGACAGAGGTGAAGTTAAATGCAACACAGCGAAAGCTATAGAGTAGTAGTAGTTCATGTACGAATGGCGTCGCCATCGAGAAGCAACATCTCCTGGCCAGCGACTTCATTCCGAGCGTTCACTAGGACCCGATAACAGTTGAAGTTCAAAACACGCAATGGAATCTGAATGAGAAATTGTTACAGAAGAATTTGGAAGGAAATCATCTACATCTTGTACGAAATCGATTCCTAATTGAAAAAGTGTTCGTGCTTGAAGGCTGTAATCATAATGGCCGGAGAGCACTGCAAATTTGATGGAATCTCTGGTATAAAGGCGTCAACACCCCCCAGCAGAAGCCATGTCGGAAAACCTATTCAGTGAGTGGGATAGAGTAGCCCACGAGTATCACAGATGTGCCGTTGCGGCTCGAAAGTGCGCGACAATGGCGCTAGGGTCTTACAAAGTCAGCATTTGGCGACTAATCTTAGCATTTGGACGAGTTACGTCGCGCACACCCATGACACGCAACGTGGATTATGCGTAGCGGCTATTTGAACACGTGAGGGAAATGGAGCCATGGAGCAACTAAGTTCAGACAACTCGTCCGGCCCATGCTTCACAGAAAGAGGGGCCAGGAACACGTATGGTTCTCATCCGTCGGTTTTAATCGTTTCAGGTTTCTTTTTTCCATTAGTATGTTATTCTGTAGTCAACTTCTCATGCATCGCCAACTCATTATCGGACCGTTAAGACCTTCCCGCCAGCAAAATTTGCATCCTGGCGGTCTAGTTTTTAACCATAAATTATAAACCACAGCGCAGTTCACGTGTAGGCACTGTCCTATAATGTCCTGATGAGTCTTCAGCAGACATCTTAATGCAGTGGCGCATGCCAAGAGATTGAACAACGTCATGAAGCAGGCCAGCCCCCCCCCCAGTGCGATTAGGGATCTAGTTAATCAATGGCATTCAGTGACGTCGTCAATACCGTACGCCCTACTGCCGTTGTGATCACTCCCTTTGAAGCAAAGAGGAACATGCAAGTAAGAAACCGAGTTCGAATCCAGTGGTACCTGAGAAAGGAATGCGCCCCGCAGGCCAGTGCACTAATCCATTGCCGATAAACCGCCAGTACTGACAACAAGTCTGTTGTCGTCTTGCACCACAACACTCAGTGAATGTAGTTCTAATAATAGGCAATAATTTGATATGCTGCTAGCAATCAAGATAAGGAATAGACTTGCCTTGGCGAGTTTTGAACACGATAATTTAAGCCACCACAGAAAAAGGAAGAATTAATGGATCCAGATACCTGTAGGACGACGATGGGAAGAATGCAGATGACAGTGGAGATGCCGGCTTGTGACATTGGCCACGCAATGTTGCTGATCGTGTGTCGTATTCTGCTGCTCGGTGGGCGAGTTCACTCGCGTATCTCTTGGCCCTTTTCTTTGATCTACTCCGGTATTAGACAACTGGAACAGAGATTGCTCTGACTGCTGCAGTTGTTATTGTTGTGCCAACCGATCCTCGCAGCGTTTTTCAAGTAGAGCAGGACTGAACCCTATAATTGCAACATTGGGGATGCTCAACGGTCCAAACATCCTACTTGCAGAAGATTGAAGGAACTGAATTGCTACAAAAGCGGCGGGGAGCAAAGCTGTGAGACGTTCGAAAAGGTGCAAAGTCAAACATGCTCAAAGTCCAGCCAGTTACCTTCCGCAAAAGCTGACTCAGAAAAGACCCGTATGTACAACATTCGAAGGTATGTGACACTCATTTATGCCTCTTTGAGTTTATGGAATAGTTAAGAATCTACGATAAGTAGATGGGGAATTTTTCAGTGCGAAACACGCGGACCACGCAATCCCTCAAACAAGAAAGGCTCCGGTTGACAGCATGGTCATTACCGCGGCCTATCTATTGACGCGGCACGCCCACTGACTGGCTAACCACTGGCTGTCGTTCAGCAGAGAGCGCTAGCGGTAAAGAGAACAGCACTGGTGAGAGTTGCACCAATGCGGAAATTTCACACAGGCAGGACGGGATCTCTTTTTCTCGGATCCGGGCGCTATTGATTTTTTTAATCCTCCCGGCACCACTCTGACATTTCAATTCTGATGGGGCTGCTCTTCTAATCGTTGAAGCTCCGCATTGAAACGCGTGAAATACGCTTGCGTGTCATCACTTCCCCTCAATTTGCCGTTCGCCTTAGTTGCTTAAGTGAGTGAAATCCTGCTCTTTAGTAGGCGGTGGCCCTGGACTGGATGGGTTTCCTTACCAAACGCACAAAGGGAAATTGCGCCTAGTCACATATTGGTATTCTAGAGAGCCAAAAGATGCCTTTCCTTATAGACTTGATGATGTTTCAACATTATATTGACGAGCGTTTCAAACTTTAGACGGCTTGGAATGGCAAATTCTGCCAGCAGCAATATCCAATACTTCCTATATCTCATGATTTACCAGTCAGCCCTGTACGCTAATTGTCCACACTTTAGGTTCCAATCTTGGCATGACACAAGCCCTGGGACACAAATGCTCTTGCGTTCAGTGAGCTAATTGACCTCTGCCCACACCATTTATGTAGGGGTCTCCGTTTCAAAATGAAGTTTGCCCCTACTTTCAAAAACTGCTGCGAAAGTTGAACCAGCTAATCAACATAAATTACTCTCAATGATGACGACTACAAAAAACCAGAAGATAAGTAGCTACCCACCTGATAATGGTATGTAGTGTGAGCAACGAAGTCGACGGCCATGCCGATGCTGATGAGAACCGCACAAAGAGAAACTGGATCGAGGTCAAGATGCCAGAATGAGAGGTACCTGAAGAACTGAGCTGTGAACCTGATAGGTGAGCGCAGTTCGGATCATCTCCAGGGTGAAAATCGGTCGAGGATTCGTCGACGCTCGTCGAGGATTTTCGCCTGATCAGTCACGCTCTCCGCGCGGACATTCACTCTCGCCATGCGCGAGCCGTCTGTGCTCTCCGCGCGTACATTCACTCTCGACACTGTTACAGAGCCATGATCGAGGACTCCTCGACCGTTATTCACCCTGATCATTCTCATCTCCCGCAACCATAATTCAACCATGGGTTGCCAAAACAAACAAATCACCTACCCCATGACACCAAGACTGATCGATGCGATTCGCAGTAGTGGCCATAATAACCGATATCGGATTTTGGATAAAAATTGCGCAAACGATCGCCATGCAGAACAAAGTCCACAAACATGTCTGAAAATGCGGGTTATTTCAGAAATATTCATGAAAAGCGCGATTTATTAACAAAGACAACCGTACTCACCTGCCACGTGAGCGACTTCAAGCTCAACATTTGATCAACAAACATAGCGTTCACATTCCACACACTTGCATTGAGGCTCGGGTACCTAGAAATATTGCTTTGAGGGAAGCACACCGAAGATTTTACTGTACAAAGGATGCATTTATGAAAAGTGTGGGTCGTTCAAAAGCACTTCGACCAGCAAAAACAGAGTTTGGAGAGGGGAAGGGGGTTCAGCAACTGCTCTGAGAGTTCGTGAGGCGCAGCATGGAGAAGATGGGGCTAGGTCATTTCCCAAGGATTCTATCTGATTAGTACTGTCCGATTCCACAAAAAAACGGTAATAAAGAACAATTCATCTTCTTAAAGTGTTGCTAGTGAAAGGGATGAAAGTAGGTGATTGGGGAAAGTGGGGATGAAAAAAGCGGAACTTACTTCTGCAAATGACAGATTCAGCAGCAAAAAAAAAAACTATTATTTACATGAAATTTGGAAGGTAAAACCCAAGACTCTGAAAAACTCCCGTCATTCCACGCCAGGGAAATGAGGTGGATTGAAAGCGGCAAAATAACTCTTAACAAATATTTAAATAAAGGTAGAACTGCGAAAAAATCTGTGGTACCTGTCAACGATCGCTCTCCATTTCAGCATAAGATCTATTCGATCGTCCCATGACGTGTTGTTCTCGTAGACAACTACCAGTGAGAATTTGCGCACTGAGACCCTGAAAACAAGGATAAGATCAAATCCACAAAACAAAAAAGCTTACTGCGAAGAAATGGATGGACTTAGTGGATCAACATTGATATCTGAACGGGAATCAAATGAAATCACAGGTGAAAATGCTTGAAAGTCTCAAACCGTGGCAGGCCATCGATCGTGGTGATGGAGGGAGTTCAACAGCCTTTTGCTGATCCTGCTTAACTCAAACGGCTTTTTTAAAATGAAGTTATCGATGTGTTTCTGCGTAGTACTATCGCTCCTAGCAACAACTAATCATCTATAGAAATTTGGCTGAAGTATGCTGGTTTGGCCCAGGATTTGATCCATGGACCATCCGCGCGGTAATGGCCCCTATTGCCATCACACCATCTCCGCTCGAATCTTTTCCCATGGTAAGTTGAATCTCATTCTTGTTTAGACCCATGGTTCACAGCAAGACCCATGTTCTCGAAGTTACCACCCAAACCATAGCGGTTATTGAAATGACATTTTGTAGACCTTTTCACCATAACTATCACAGGAGGTCAATACGGCTGCCACGATTTTAAGTTTGAAACATTTTAAAGCGTTCCGCACCCTGCAAACTTCCTTACGTTTGGTTGTAGTCGAGATTGAGGAACGCCTTGTGATGCTTGTAGAGCGGATTACCGAGGAATCCAGCAAGTTTCTTAAAGCCAAACTCCTTCTCGTCCGGGTACTCGTCAGCATCAAAATAGAAGTCGAAATCGTTCACTCCAACTCCCCAATAGTAATCGATGTAGTCCCGTAGCCAAAACATTGTGAAGTTGGAGCCTGAAATTTCGAGGATAGCAGCAGCAGTTCCTTACCCGTCGCCGTTAAGAACTAATTACCTCGACAAGTGGGGAGCTGCTCGAATTCGGCCACGAATGCGTTCACCTCATTCAAGCGATCCACGTCAC